TGGAAGTGATCATGGACTGGCCAGAAGCAAAGATTTTGGAATATCGCCAGAGGAGGAGGTGACGCTTGCTGAGGAGGCCCCAATGTATAATAAACTACCAGAAAATGAGAAACAATATCCTCTGTTCACTGATGGGTCCTGTCGTCTTGTGGGAAAGCATCGGAGGTGGAAGGCTGCTGTATGGAGTCCTATACGACAAGTTGTAGAAACTGCTGAAGGAGAAGGTGAATCGAGCACGGATGGTGGCAAATGCCCTGTGGGGGTGGTTGCAGCAATGGAAGCGGAGCAACTGGCAGCGCAGAGGCAAACCCATCTGGGCTGCTGCATTGTGGCAAGATATTGCTGCCCGGGTATGGGGGGCAATGAACAGCAATAAAACTGCTCAGCACTTTATTTCCAGATTTCCATCTATTCACTGACTTGGTGCACGGCAGCAGTAAGCTACGCTGTGACTTCTTCCATGGGTGTGCACCGTGCTGAGGGCCAGTCTTGATTTAACTATGTGGAACTGCTTTGACTTTGCTTTTATGAACCCAGCATTCAGTATGTTTCCATAGCTTTCCTGTGTAGTTTCAGAAGAAACTGTGCACATTCCTGCCTTAGATACTGAATAGAAGTTCTGGATATTATTATTATTATTATTATTATTATTTTAAATTTTATTATTAGAAGAACTGTTAGAGTTTTATTTCTTGACTACATTTATTATTTACTTTATCTTTTTATTTCAATTACTCTGATGGTACAAAAAGCCCTGTCAGAGTCAACACACTGGATCTCATCCTGGTGGTGGTATAAAAGTGACATCCAGAGAGTTTGCTAATTGCTTTTACACTACACAGTCAGGATCTGGCCTACAAGTGAGTAAACCTGGAGACATTTCACTGACAGAAGTACTTACATCAATACTGGGGGCAAATGAAGTAAGAGCTGTAAGGGTGTAGGAACGCTGGACTGGGAGGGTAGACCTCGTTTACCAAATACTCTTCCTTCCAATCATGATTTTCACATCATATAATCCCATTCATAAAATCATCAGGCTGCATCTTCAAATTAATTAATTTCCTACTTAATATAGTAATATTCCAACCTAATATATTCACAGCCAGACAATCTCACTGTGTTCTCATGCAGTGTCTTTTAGCTTAGATACCTCTGCTCTCCACCACTGATGCCTGAGGCAGCACTCCTGGCCCTCTAAGTCTTAATTTGACTAAACTAAAGAAACTGTATGGTTTTAATCTTCAGTTCCCTAAGCATACATTATGAGAAAGCTTTTCTGTACTTGCCCAGGTTTGCATTTTTTCTCGGGCATGGGTGGTGAGGCCTGCCAGCAGAGCGCCAGTGAGGCTCCATCCTGTCACTCAGATGCTGTGTCAATACTTTCTTCCCTCAATATATTTGAAATATCTTGCTTGATGCCTCCTTCCAGCTACTGTCTGATGCTGACTTTGTGGCAGACTGTGACAAACTGTGACAGTTAAGTAATTTGCTCTGGATATTCCCTGAAAAATGTCTCGGATCTTAGCAGAAGCTGAATAAGAGCAGAGACTTTGGGCCTCAGACTGCTCAGGTGGGATATATCTCACCTATGCCCGCGCTAGCTAACATAGCCTGCTGTATGACTAACAGGGAAAGATAGGCACTTATAATTAATTTATCAGCTCTAGTCTACTTCTACACCTCGGTATGAAATTAGCTATGGCTTAGAAGTGCATATTTCTCTTTTGCCAATAAAGGAGGTCTAGGCAGCCAAGGCATACATGTGTATGTCTGGGCAGACAAACTCCAGCCCTTGCCATGAGAGGGGGATGGCCTTCCTCACACTTGTGGTGGGAAAAAAGCGTGATATAATGCAAATGCAAGTCAAGACTATATTAATATGAAATATGGTTTAAGCTTCTTGAAAATGGAGGAGAAAGGAGAACCTGGGGATTCTGGCTCCAAACCTGTTCTGTGGGGGAAAGAACATGATCTCTACCTGTAGGCTCACCAGTGGAGGAACCGTGAGAACAGGCTGGAAAACAAAGACCCATGTGATAAATGTACAATATTTGTTACAACTTGATCCAAAGCCCTGCGCAGGCATTCTGGATCTTTCTTTTACTGAAGCTTTGACAATCAAGCGCACTGAAGAAACAGTCTGTGCAGAAGATCTTAAAACACACACAAAGTCTTAGTGAAGTGTTATCAAAGAAAAAAATTAGGAGGCATGTATTTGTCTGGAAAAATCGTCACTCAATTTAGGTTTTATACTGGGTTTTGGAGAGAATATGAAACTTACATTTGCCTTGAAACATAATTGATCAGTCTGTTTTTCAAAAAGGAATTAAACTGGCAGGGAAAAAGAACATATTACAATAGGTTTGGAATAGTTATTCATTTTTTTAAATTCTGTAACTGGAAAAACTTATTTCTATTTTAATTGCCAATTAGAAAATGATTTTATTAGAAATGTATTCTTTTTAAGTTTATTACTGGAAAATAAATTTATTTGAAGAATTATTTTTATTTACATGTAAGGTAATAATTTTTCAGTCAGTGTTTTGAATCTGTTGCTGATTTTATTTACTACGAATGATAATGTACCTGGTAAAAAATTAGAATACATCAAACTGCTTTCATTACTTGGAAGAAACTGGAAATAGGTGTTGCCAACTTTCAACTAAATAATTTATGCATACCGCATACAACCAATTAATTCAATAGTAGCAAGAGTTTTGAGTTTATTCACTTCAAAAATTATTTTTTTTTTTCACACATCTATATGTTATGTTGGCAGGTTGTTATAAAGATGGCCGATATTACGGAGAAGGAACAATAATTAAAGACAACTGCAATTCCTGGTAATGTTTCAGAGAACAGCAAATTAAATTTTATTTAGCATATGTCATGAAAGAGGAATTAAGGTAGTGAGCATCCTTAAATTCATATTAAACATGTAATCAAATCAAAATGTCTGGAAAACTAGTATTTTATTGAGGTATTGTAGAATTAGATTACAGCAATTTGGAAGAATGGCAAGAGGTCAATGGGCTTTCTAATCGAGATATGAAAATGAGAGTGTTAAAATGTCCTCCTCACTGGCCTAATTCTGTTCCTGCTCAGTCAATCTGCTGGCTCTGACCTGAGTCGAAATGGTTTCAGCCTAGACCTGGGCATTGACCTGAGCGCAGACAAAACAAATATCATTAAAATTTAGGGGATTATTTTAGAACATCTTCCTCTGTTTCTTTTGCATGAGTGATGAGACCTTACATTATTTCATAAGGGAAGAAAATATATAAATGTATATTTATGTAGGAAAGGGATGAACTGTTTGAACATCCCTTTGTCTTGGGACAGGAGCAGGCAGCGCCGGCAGGGGCCTGAGCCGCCTCCCTGCTTCGCCTCTCCAAAAACCAGCCCTGCATCTCCAGCCCCAGGGCAGCCCGGGGGGCTCCAGCAGCACCTAAACAGGGCTGGGACCCCCACTGCCCTGACTTTAGCCCAGGGTCCTGGGAGCAAGGTATCTACGGCCACATGGCTCCTGTCTGGTTTTCCTGAGTGAAACTTCCTCAAAATATCTAATTTATAGGACATTGCCTTTTTTCCCTGGTTTGGTCTCACAAAGATGGAAGCAAAATTTTTCAAATATGACCTTTCCCACAAGCTGTAAACCTTCCCACCTTGTTCCAATTAGGATTCATTAGGTAGTGAAGTAGTGAGAAGTAGTATTGTGTTTTCATAAATACTATCTGACATTTATATTGTTTATGCTTTTTTTTCTCCATCTTCCTTCTGTTGTTAAAGTGCATATTTTTTCCTTGACAATTCATTTTCTGCTCAGTGATATTCTTGCCCTTTCAGCAAATGCTTCCAAAATCTCTGGAAGTGTTCAAAAGAAGTATGCCTTGTTCGCGAAGACTTGATTCAGCACATCAATTCTGGAGATTATGGGTGAGAACACTTTTATTTTAAGGTTTTGTTGTAAACCACTGTATTGCTCATTGTATGTATGTGCAAATTACAAGTTATGCAGTCCTCTCCACCCCTTCCTTCCCCAATTACATTACAGCAATTTGACAGTAAATGTACATCTGTGAAACTTCCCTAAATCTCTGGCAGATTATAGAGTTTTAAATGGAAAGATACTGAAAGTCTCATGCTGGTAAGAGTTGACATTGTGAACATCTATCTAAAACATTCTCCGAATTTAGTACAAATTTTTTGCTCACAAAATGCTATTTAGATCACCTTCCCTTATTCTTCATTTATTACTTGGGATAGATATTTAAAGTAATTTTTTTTCCTCCCTCAAGAGCATTGTTCCACATAACAGGACTCCAGGTAGTGTTGGAAGAGGAGAGGATGGGCCAAATGAGGACCAAGATATCAGAACATTCTGGGTCTCGGTGTTTTTCTTGCTACCAGTTCTCATTCCCCCCAGGCAGTGCAGAGGGATTAGGGACACCCCAGTACCAGAGCTGTGCCTTGGGAGCCTGCTGGCCATTTACAGCTCCTCCCTAGAAGCTGTGGTGCTAAATTCAGCAATGAAGCCTGCCCAGATTTCAAGCTGTGACTCAGTGCTGAAACATTTTATACTTCATGGGAGACATTCAAACCAACTGAGTTAGCATAGACAATTAAGTTAGGCACCTGGAGCCCTTCACCTCTCTCTTGTCAGTGGTAAGCGGTAAGGTTTGCCACAGGGTGGTTAAGCCCACCTGAGATATGACTCAACTTCTGCAGGTGCTTGCACTCTTCACTGACTACAGGCAGACCAAGAGCAATGAGGCTTCTCATTTGTGCAGCATAAATCTCACCTCCTTGTTCCTCATACACAAGTAAGAAAGAAATGGGTAAAGAGAATGCTCTCCTGTGTGGCTCAGCTCTTTTCCAGTAATAACAAACTTCAGTGTGTTCCAAATGTGTATGGCTGCAAGGTATTTTTTTTCTGTTGTGCGTACAGTTTGCAGGGTTAAGGCTACAATCTGAGTCTAGTCTACCTGAGAGTAAGGAGGGAATAATTAAAGAGCACTGGGGAGCCCTTTCTCTCAACCTGGCTATTGGTGTAAAACTCAGGCAGAAGTTGTCAGCTGGGCTTTCTGCTGGGTTCAACAGTGTCTCACTGCTAGTGCACCAGAACTTGAAGGCAACGTAACTCACTACATGAAGATGCTAGTTCTCTGTGGGCAACTGGTCTGAAGCATAATTTGAGCATAACTTCAAGACAACAGTAATTGTTATGACTGAGCATCTTGTTTTCCAGTACTTCTCTGAAGTATTGCATGCTCATCTCCTGCAGGCTGATATGATGCTGACCTCAAATCAACACTTTTCATAGACTACTGTGTTGCTCCATCCTACACTCATTTGCAGGGGAAGAGCCTGTACTAAATATTTTCTCATGCATATGAAATACAAGGTTTTGAAATGTAATTTGAAAAATTTATTTCTGGATGTTATTGTTAGTGGTAATCTTACAAAGGAGCAAGGTATTAATGTGAGTGGTATCTCTAACCTGGGGTTTGTTTGTTTTCTGTCTGTGAGGAAGATGGAAAGCTGACAACTACAGTCAGTTCTGGGGAATGACAGTGGAAGAAGGTTTCAAAAAGCGCCTGGGCACCTTCCCTCCATCTCATTCCTTGCTGAGTATGAGAGAAGATCCAGTAAGTGTGATGTACAGTTGTTAAATTTTTTAATAACTTTATCACATGGAAAAATAAATGTGGACAATTATAAGATTATGATTCAGAGATTTAACACTAAATGCTTCCATGTTGAATATGAAGCTCCCAGAATAGTTCTCCAAGCCATAGAGTGTGTGGTCCTATTGATGGAAATCAAACAAGGAGGAGCAAAAGCAAATATTAACCATTGGGAAGCTGTGCACCAATATTAACTTATCATTGTAGATCACTGGTGTTTGAAATTTTGCTTATTTAAGGTGGTTCCATACCATCCTCTCCATTTTCTAATCATTGCACACGGAGCTGTAACCATAAAAAAAGATAAATCTGGGCATAGTTCATTAAGGCTAACGGCTGAGACTAAACAGCAATCTTTGAAAGAAGCTCAAAAAGCCCATAGGATAAAGCAATGTAAAGATGAAGTAGGAGGCTGGGATTTTGGCCAAATAGAAAGAAAAATGATGGGAAGCATGGGAAAATGAGATGATTCTCTACTACCAGCTTTCTAAACCTCTTGGTCATGGCTATTTTCATGGCAGTTAAATTAAATTTCCTATCATATATTTGCTCAAATTAGTTCTGCAACAAAGCAAATATACTTTAAGTTATATAGGTAGGTTAAGAAATTAAAGAAGAAATGCATAGTAATTGAATCCAGAGTAGATTTTCCAATGCTTTGGATCAGTTACTTAGGTTCTTTCTTAGAAGACCCAAAATTATGGAAATCATAGATTGAAAAAACTAACTACCTCACCATAGTGAAATTAGAAAACTTGCAAGAATAAGTAGATAGATCCAAGGTTTGCAAATGACTTTAAATATAACAAGTTTTTATCTTTGGCTTCTTATAGTTCAGGAAAGTGATGCCATTTGATTATCTATTTGAAGTCAATCATTGATGCTTGTTGTACATGTGTATGGCAGAAGGGTTTCCACATCACAGAAGGCCTTGTGGGGACAGCAGTGCTGAGCTACCACTTGACAGGAAATTGGGAAAGAGGGGGAGGGCCATGTGCCTCTGCAATAATCTTAACAATCCTAACCCTTTTGCTTGATGCAGTCTGGTTCTGTCCCACACAAAGTCAGATCCCTGCACCAGCGTGGCGAGGCATTGGGTTGTGGCCCAGATTGGCCAGCTTGCTCAAAATTACACTATGGAGGGTTGTCAGAGCAAGAAGCTGACAGAAATTAAGCTTTGGAGTTTTGCCTCGTATGATTTCCTAGACTACTCTTCGCAGCCAAAGAAGGGTCCATTTCAGTTGAAGATGGCAAGTCTAAATAAGACAATGACATAAAAGAGTTTAGTGCAATATTTAGTAGGTATCTGCCACAAATTACCAGTGAACTGCATTGAGGCTCAAGAGAGTTGGGGTTGATTTGTTGTTGTTGCTGGCTTTTTCCTTGAGGAATACAGTGTGATGCTTACATAGCAGAAGCAAAAAGTGGATAACATGTACCTAGCTCAGAGATTAACATCTACATTACTAGATATCTAGCTAGGTGAGACAAATCCCACCTAGGAAAACAAGAAAAGGAAGGTTATAAGAAATTCTTTACCATATTTTCTTTTCCATTCAGTTTGGGGTAGCCGGTCACTCAGTGGTCCTGCATTATGTCCAGCCTATTGAATCATTGTTATTAAGCTTCCCTTAGCTTCTTTGACTGCTACACTACTTACAGCCTTTGCTCCACTGATACATTTCTCAGGCGTATTTTCTCTATCTGCTATCTTTTTATGAAATCTGTGAGCCACAACCCAACTACCTTTGGCCCTGCCAGACACCCAAGGAGCTTCATGCATTCTTCTCCAGAAATCCAGCTTTGCACATTCATGCATTTAGCTGTCAGGAAGTCCTACGTGTTGCTGGAAGCACAAGCTTTGCATAGGATTCTAAGAAATATTTCTCTCTACTTACAAATGCTAAAAATATAAAATAATAATCTCTCTATGACTTTCTCAGCTTCTGGAGAATTCTTTGAGCTTGCAGAAAATTGCTCTGAATTTTCTATGAGCCTGTCTCCTACCTATGGCTTCTCTTCAGAATTATTAGAACTTTCTTGCTCTTATCCCAATGGTTTCTGTATTAGCTAGTCTTGATGTAAAAATATTTTTCTCTGAAGCTTCCTGCAAAGCTCCAAATCTCCCTGATTCTGTCCCCTATAGTTTTCTAGAAGAACATAATCTCTTTAGTGCCCTTGTTCTGCTTCAGGAAATTTCCTATCTACCACACTTTAATACTTCACAAAAACATTGAAAAAAAATGGTTTTCTTCACTCATAGCCAGCTCCATATCTAGCATCACTGCACGATCCAGCAATTTCATATAACGGATTGGGCTCACCAGGAGTATATTGACAGATTCTTCCAACTGGCAAACCAACAGTAGCCATGGAGTTAACTTCCAGGCACTTTTTAAGATAAGTATCTTACCAGATTTTCAGAGACACTTGCCCCTGCTTCACCTTCCATGAGTAATTTTCTGCCATTGATATTTTGTGAAGCATACTAACACATTTACAAAGTCCTAAGTGATAAAAAATGAGTGAGTTTTCATGACAGTTTCCATTAAGCTTAACCTGTAACTAGGTGACAGCTCAGAAGAGAGTAAAAAGATATGAATGATGAAATTGAGAAATAACTACTTTTTAATATCTTTCAGAGATATTCTCCAAACCTTAATGGCTTGACCTTTAAGTGACCTTGTTGAGTACTAATTCACCTGCAGGCCAAGGTACTAGTTACTTGCTGTGGATAAATCGGCACTAACTAAACATTCATGCGTTCTCTGGGGTTATTACTGCCTTTTCCATTTTGCAAGTGAGAAAACTGCAAGTCATTTGCCCAAAGTCATATATTTAGTTGATAAAAATGCTACAATTAGTGTTCAGGAGTTTTTGGCTCTATCTTGCGCTGACCTGATTAAAACCTGGTAGTTTTGCTAATGTAGAAAGAAAACCATAGCTACCCATTTGTTAACTACAACTTTTTTTTTACTTTAAATAAAAACCATTTCTTCAGCATGCTACTGGCCTACTATTTAGGGAATAAATGAAGTTTCTGGTACCTAAGGGCCAGATGTTCTGATTATTTTCTACTGTCTTTTGGGGATGCTTGAGAAAAACATTTTTGTGTAGAAGGGGCTCCTTACTCAATTGCATTGAAAAAAGATTCAAGAATGTAAAGCCCTTCTGTGTTAACCACTTTACATCTACAGCAGAGTCTTAGTTCTCAGCAGTGTTGAAAAGTTTGGTTGTGGAGTAGAGGCTTTTTAGTTATTTCTTTGACTGACATATCCAACTACAAATATAGCTTCATAACATTACTTCCAATTAAACGGTGTGACAGAGCTACATTTCATCTTAGGGAAAACACAAACTTCTTGAAGTTGCTCATAGAGCTTTTAAAAGCTCTGCTATTAATAAAAGACTATACCTGCTCAATAAGGTGGTGCTTATGTCTGGAAGGGTAGTTTAACATGATGGCACATTAGAATACTTAAAAGACAATGATATGGAACAAGAACTAAATCTAAACTGAGGACCCTGTGCTGCATGACCGTTTTGTCTTCACAAAGCAAGTGATGTCCAGAACTTTTTTCCTACATAAAAAAAAATATTGCTTTCCCTCAGAAAAAGTATTTCCACATTTGCAAATTCAGTAATATTCAGCCTTTTTTCTCTGATGGGCCATCTAAATTTTCTGAAGAAGTCGTAGCTGAAGTACGAGCGTTCTTTTATATCCACTTACCTTCCTGCTTTGGCCAGACTGCTAGCTTCACTGCAGAGAATACATATGAAGGTTTAAACACAGTTTGCCAGTCATTTTGCTGATTGCATTGTGCTGTCTGATGCTGGTCCATGGAGCATATGTTGAGAAACAATTGTCTAGACTTACTATTTGTCACAGAACAGCAGTGCTTCTCAATATCAGGGTAGGAATTTCTCAGACAAAAAGCTAATGTTTCTGGCTACAGGTCAGTCCTGCATTTCTAAATGGCAAGGCTGAGGTTTAATGAGGGATTTGTTCTGGGATTTACAATATGAGGCTATTAAATACCTTGGCAGTAGTTTAGGAATATGTAAAGTAACACATTGTCTCAGACCAAAGATCTATTTAGAATTTTGCTTTTCTCAACTGCCTCATTTGTGGCATTGTAAGCGGTCATTGCCCACGTAAGTGTGCTAAACAACCTTTGCCAAATTTTGCTTGTTTACTGGTTGATAGTGAGCAGTCTTATCATGTAAAAGAAACACTATTTATCCAGGACTTTGCCTGTATGATTCATCTTCAAAGTAAATCTTGTGTTTGTGCTTGCTCATTAATAATGAACATAATGATAATTTAGTAAGACATTCTTTAAATTAGCTGTTGCTTTCTGTGTGTCATTTGAGGTTGCAAGTCCCATGTATCTAACAAGGTTTTGAAAAAGCAGACCTTTGAAAGTGATTAATCAAAATATTGAGATTAATATTTTAGCAAGATTTGGAAGATTGCTGGCTTGTTATGGGTGGAGGTAAAACTTTCAAAAGAACTTGAGTCACTTAACAGCTTGTAGTATACCTTAATGGTATTTAGGACTCACAGCCTGCATCTAACATAGTGAACCTAGAAGCACTTGAGGGTTACTGGGTCTGGGGGTATGCACAGACTGTATCAATCCGTCTGTTGGGGCTGTATCCCAGTCTAATATCAGATACAGACCTGAGGTACAAGCTTCTTTTTTCCTTACCCACTTCTTCTCAACCGTGGGTTTTCTGTGGGAAATCCAGGTGTGCAAGCTGGATGGAGGCACCGCTGTTTCCCAATGTATGCAACAAAGTGATCTGGATACAGCCAAAGTGGTAAAGTTCGGTTCCCCAAAGAGTCCTGAAATAGTTTGAAAGAACTGGCCTCAAATGTTTAAATCATCTTAGGAAAAGGTATGTAGTCTTATAAGTCACATAAGCAATTTAGAAAAATGGTGCAGCAAGGACACCCAGAACTAGAAGACTAAGTAAATCGAAGTAAAATAAAGGAATTTGAACAGGATAGAAGCCATTGTGCTTCAGGGTATGAGTCTGCTTATAAGAAAGAAACATCAGGGAATTATTTGCTTAGGAACAGATTATCATATTTTGTATATTGTGTTTTCTTCTGGAACAGATGTTATCAACAATTGTTTGAGACAAACTGATAGACTGGATGGACTAATATTGCAATTCCCTGTGCAGCATAAACAAACATTCCATAAAGTTTAACAGTAAAAAAAAATGGGTCAATGGTTTTGATATGTTGAGCACAGAGCAGATTATTAACAGTTGTACCAGATGATTCTTGCATATGTGGATATCTGTGCAAAGCTTGGAGGACATAAATTAAGGAGGAGGGATGAAGTTGCTAAAAATGGCTGTCCAAATGGCTTTAGTGAGCAGACCATGAATTCTCATTAACTCAACATCAGATTGCAAAGCAGAATAAAAATCACTGATTTTCGTTCTGGAATGAAAATAAGTGCTGGAGATTGAAAACCGTCTGTGTAAAAAACAAATCAATGATACACTGTACTGATGCTTCCCCCATGGTAACTAAAGTTTCCTACCTACAGCCACGTGTCAAGGAGAATAGGGTAACAGGTACCTAAGTTCACTTTTATTTGTAGCAGAAGGCTTTTCTTTCCAAAAATGCCAGGTGGGCCATAATTAACATGTTTCATAGGGAATTGCTGTTTGAGATAAAAATCAGAGAGCAACTGGACAGGTTATTTAGGTTGGCAGTTGTGGAGCTCAGCTTTCCAGCTCAGCTACTGGAGTGCCAGAACCCCCCTGCTCTCAGGGGGTCCACAGCACCCAGCCACAGGGATGCTCGGGAAGCCACAGGTGCCAATGCTTTAGGTTTCCTCAATTTAAAAATTAAGAATTTTAATTTTTATTAGGGTAAAATTTAATTAGGGTAAAACTTAAGACAAAATTAGGAGTTGAAGCACATACAGATCTCCTACATTTTGTTTTAGGGAAACTCACTTCCAGAAGAAAAATTTCCTGCATTTTTTGCAGCCACTTACGCATGGCCTGAATGGATTCATGATCCTCTGGATCAACGAAACTGTGGAGCATCCTGGGCTTTTTCAACCGCAAGTAATATTAATTTTTTTCTCCTTTTAAAAATATCATTGATATGAGATGTGTGATGAAAATTTGTAGTGATTAGTAATGAAGTAATTGCAGCTTGCCGTTCACTTTTTATCAGCAAACAGGAACATTTAGAATTGCTACAGCTTTCCCTCTAAGTTGTCCAAAGACTTAAAAGGTCGGTCTAAGCTGTAGAGCTTTGTTTGCTTTTCATAAGTTTGTGTAACATAGGGATATTTTTCAGTGACAGAAAGTAGAAAATGAATTGACTAATGTACTTTACCGTAACTGGTAGAGTAACTTTTAAAAAAATCTGCATCCCTTGCTTGCACAACTACATGCTTGACTTGAAAGCTTAAAACAGGTAGGCTTTATTTCTTTATATGTATTTATATATTTGTGCATTTGCCATTGTCCAACACTTGCTATTTAAGTAAATTCAGTGTAATCTTTTCAATAATTTTATGAGAAGAAAACCCTGAAACTGCTCAGATATTTGTGGAAGAAAGTGTTTTCAAATTCTGTAAGCAAAGAAATGTCAGTAATGCAATTCAACCTCATGTGCTACAACCTCTGGTTTTATGAAGAATGGACACAAGTGTTTGTGTCATTTTCTCCAAAGAACCTACAGCGATCAGTTATATTCATTTTTCTTATGCTGCAATAAATCTCAGTACATATTGGGATATATAAAGATAAAGAAAAAATTATGCAATCAATCTTTATTGCTTGATCCGGCCAGTGGGTCCTCACGGGTGCAGGTTTCTGCAACTGCTTCTTTGAATCACAGCAGTAAGAGAAAGAAAGGAGCATTTAGGTCAGTTAATCCCAACTTCCTGCCAAAGCCAGACTGAACACATTCTGTTACCAGTATGTCTTGTCCAGTGTAGTTTTAAAAGACAAAACCAAGAGAACTTCTGACAGCTCTGCTGACAGATTACTGCACAGATGAACAGAGCTCACTGAGGGAAAGACTTTCCAGATATTCAGCCTAAATTTTCGCTTTCATAAGTGAATCTTTTGATTTTAATTCACATAATTATTTTCAATGCTAAATATTATAAGATGTTATATTATCCCATGTTGTTAAGGTGCATCTAACATTTTCAGTCTGGAATTTCAATCCTTCTTTGTAAGATTAATTGTTGCTCAATGAATAGACAAGCACTGCTGTATCATTTTTTCTTATAATGAGTAATTCCTATAAGTATTCCAGAACTCTTCAGTAAAAAGCTTTTACACCTATGAAAATAAATTCATTACCATGTGACACCTCACAAAAGCACAAAACACAGTTGTTGTCAGCTGCCATCAGCAGATTCACTCTTCTGAAGTCTTGTCCAAAGTTCACTGAAGTTAGTGTTGATTTTGATGGGGCTTTAGATTTCAAGGGATTTTTTTTTTATTTTCAGGTTGAGAAATGAAGGGCTAACAATAATAAAAATATAATTTAAACACAGGTAATGACTGGGGTTGGGGTTTAATTGTTTCATTATCACTCGCTAAAGAAAGGAGAAGTGGCTTAATTTCACCTACAACAGCCTAGTCTGCCTTTAAATCAGTGCATAAATATATCAGTACTTAGAATTATGGCTATCTGATTGAGTTCAGACATCTAAGGTGTCTATCTCAGAAGAAGAATTTTGTGTGATAAGGGAAGGAGGTCCAATGAATCCCACATTTACACATTAATATGAGCATTTCCAAATATTCTTTCCAGTAAAACCAGTACATACTTTCAGTCTTGAATTTTCTTCTTCATAGGACTGTTCATTTTTGCTTTTCTTTTTTCTCAAATAAAGGAAGGAAAGGTAGAAAAGAAAGAAAAGAGATTTGGAGATTCAGCTGCAGAGAGCTGGGAGAGTATTTGCATCTTCTGCTGAAGTCAACCAGAGATGAATATGCATTTACGAACACCGTAGAGACTATCAGACTAAACCATGTAAATGCCTCATTTGATGTTTAGATATGTGGGACTTTATGATAACCAGTAAATCTATGGATTTACAATATTACAGCAAAGTTGCTCATGACGCTTTGCAGTTTAACAATCCTCTCTCTCGAAAGTCTGTACAGATTATATCTGTATTGCTTTGTAAAGATATCTGCACAGACAGAAAATATTGAGGTTGTATTTCAGCCCCTCTTTCACAACAACCAGCGTGAAGTTGTGAGTAATTATTTGGTTTGGATAATGGAAAATTTCTTTCAAAACAGGTGTTGCAGCAGATAGAATAGCAATTCATTCCAAGGGTCAGATCACAGACAACCTTTCCGTTCAGAATTTGATCTCTTGTGATACCAGGAATCAACATGGATGTAATGGTGGAAGTATTGATGGTGCTTGGAGATATCTGAAAACACATGGGTAAATATTTTATCTATCTATTTAGATTATTTTAACTTGAACCAGTTGCTTAAGTTACAATGTCACTTGTGTTACAATGATGATTTCTGACCTTTCAAAAAAGAGGCATTTAGCTCTGTCCTAGGTCAGATTAACTGTGTTACTTCATCAAGACTATCACTCTCTCTCATTTACACCTTCTTTAAATCACCTTCATGAAGCCTAGGAACTGTGAAGCATTCCCAAAGAAGTAAGTGAAGACTATTTTGAATGAGGGCTCTCAGTGAGAAAACTCTGGAGCCACCTAGCTCCCATTTAAGCCTCATTACATCTAGATGTTGTCATTAGCTGTAATACAACTGGGGAAAATGGTAGCCTCTCTAACAGCAAGACAAACAAGAAAGGATTTTTAATGTCAGAGACAATACCGTAAGTGGACTCAAAACTCCTGTGGTTCTTGGGATACGGGCTCTTCATGTTAAACAACCTTGAGTAAGCAGCCAGTTGCATGAGACAACATTTTGAATATTCAAAAGGATCAAACATTAACCTTCTAGAAAGCAAATTGTAATCATCCCATCCCAAGCTTGTGCCAGAATGCAACACCGTAGCAAAGACTATATCTAGATCCTTCTTCCTTCAGGTCGGACTAAGCAAAGTTAACAGCTCTCAAACTCCACATGAACAGCTAGAAGCTTTATAAAATGACACATAATAATTTATAGAATCACAGAATGATTTAGGTTGGAATGAACTTTTGGAGGTCACCTAGTCCAATGTTCGTCTCAAAGCATGACTAACTCTGAAATTAGATCAGGCTGCTCAGGCCATATCCCAGGTCATATTTTGAGTATCTCCAAGGATGGAGGTTCCACAACCTTTCTTGCAGCAGGTCATTTTGTTTGACTGCTTTTGTGGTCAAACATTTTTTTCCTATATCTAATCAGCATTTTCCTTGGTACAACTTGTGACTGGTACCTTTCAACTTTTCACTGTGCATCTCCAAGAAGAGTCTTGTTCTGTCTCCTCTATGACCTCTCCTTATGTAGTTGAAGACAGTAATTAGATCTCCTTTTAGCCTTCTCTTCTCTGGGCTGAACAAATCCAGCTGCCTCAGCCCCTCCTTGCATATCATTTGCTTCAGCCCCCTAAGTGCCTTCCACTGGACTTGCTCAGTTTGTCAGTGTCTTTACTGGGGATCCCATAACTGAACACAGTACTCCAGATGTAACCTCACAAGTGACAATTTGAGGGGAATAATCATTTTTCACAATGTCCTGGCTATGTTCTTGCTAACACAACTCAGTATTGATTGTCCACGTTTGCTGAGAGGGCCCACTGCTGACCCATGTTCAACTTTCTGCTCATCAGGACCCCAAGTCCTTCTCTGTGAAACTGCTTCCTACACAGGCAGTGCCCTGCCAGTACTGCTGCATGGGCAGTTCTGGCTCAGAGGCAGGATTTGTCTTCTGCCTTTGTTGAACTTCATGAGGCTTCTGTCAGCTCATTTCTCTAGCCTGTTAACATTGCTCTGAATGGCAGCCATGCATACTCACCACTCCCCACCAGTTTGGCATCCTCCACAAATTTACTGAGGGTGCCTTATGTCCCACTGTCCAGATTGTTAATAGAGATGCAAAACAGTGTTGCTGCTGTGTTGACTCCTGAGGAATGCCACTAGTAAACAGACACCAGTCACTTTGATCTGTCGAACTTTCAGCATGCCAGTCCAGTTCAGTTACTGACCCTGTAAGCAACTTATCTAGTCCAATAAACTAGAAGAACACCACAGGAGACCATGCTGAAAATGTTGCTAAAGTCAAGGTAAATGATATCCCCTGCTTTTCTTATTCTCCATGGAGCCAGTAATTTCATCATGGTTAGATCATCTCATCTTATCATCTCATCATGGTGAGGCATAATTTACCATGGTAAATCTGTGCTGCCTGTTCCCAGACAACTGCTTGAACTTCATGTTCCTGGAAATGGCTTCAGGAAAATTTGCAATAACCAAATTTTATGTACTGTGTAATTACATGCCGCTGTTTCTCACATTGTCAGAAAATTTTTTGTATTTCCTGTTCCATACCAAAACCTATTTCCTCTCTCACTTTCATACACTTTCATCCCTTACTCTGTCTTTGATATACCTGACAGACAGAGAGATCTCAGGTGTGCTGTCAACTTTTAATTTTAGTTAAAAAACAACAAACAAACAAACCATGGAAAGAACAAAAGAATGTCAGACGTGATGCATCAGATGTCATAGCTGACATGGCAGCCTGGGGATCCAGGTGAAGACCAAAGCGCTGTCATTCACATAGACACAGTATACAAAATGATCATTCTGCTTTCTTCAAGTGTACCAAACTATTTCTGATCCGACAAGGGTATTGCATTGTTATAGGGTGAGTTTACATTGAGTGTTCCTCTGTCTTTCTGTCTCAGGGTTTAAACGCTAAATTAAGGGAGACCCTTTCAGTGAGTGATTACAGTGGGCAGTAATGGGTTGCACCCAGCAAAGACCCCTCAGCACCTCATGGGGGTAAAGGCAAAGGCTTCATTCATGAAGAAATGAAAGTTATAGCTTAACATTTTAAGCTACACTTTTCTGTAACTAGAACAGGCTCCTTTCAATCAGAAGCTCATGCTCTTAAGAGAATAAATAGAACTCTTTCTCACTGGACTGGTTGCTTCCCTACCATGTTAAGGACAGGAGAATTGCTAGTGTAGATAAGATAAAAGATCCATTTTAATAAGTATTATCTCCACAACAGTTGGAGCAACCTATTTTTAGAGGAAAAGCCCTAAAGAACACAACAATAGGACAACCTCCTAGTCTTCTGTTCCCTCTGACTGTTATCTCTGTATGGGCATAACCACCATGAACCCATAATAATAAGATTCTTCCTATACCAGAAAGCTGTATTTTTTTTACCTGGAGCAGTGTGGTTAGTGATGCAGTCTGTTCTGCAGAGGCAGTTTAAGTATACAAGAGTTAGCTTATTTCTATAAGGAAAGTGAGGCAGGCTGAAGCTGTTATCAACCTAGCTGTACCCACACAGGACCTCGTGCTGGTGTAAACGCAGTAGTGAGAAGATTGCTCCCTGACTGACCACAGAGTACCAGCGTGAAAGTGGTGTGCAGAGCAGGCTTTCTGACTGATGTAAGCCTGGAAGCATACAGACAGGGCACCTCAGCTCACCAGAGCATGTCTGTGAACTGTCTTTTCACCTCCAAAGTCCCAAGTACTTGCATTACTGCTCAGTCACCTGAGACGTCTCATGGTATTCACCAGCCTCTTGCAGCTGGCTGTCTAAGTAAAGGATCTGCAGGGTAGTTGTGAGAACCATCACAGATTTTTGGAGACTATCTAGACCTCCAATAAATCTCTGCAGTCCAAGACTATTTTCTTAGTCATTCATCCAGCTTTCTTGTTCCTATGGAGCCAGCTCCAACATGTACAACATCACTGTGCTCTTACAGACATTTGCCTGCTACCCATTTGTCCTGGTTTCGGCAGGGATAGAGTTGATTTCCTTCCTGGTGGCTGGTACAGTGCTGTGTTTTGGATTTAGGATGGGAACAAAATTGATAAGGCACCAATGTTTTAGTTGTTGCTAGGTAATGCCTACACTAGTCAAGGACTTTTCAGCTTCCCATGCTCTACCAACTGAGAAGGCTGGAGGTGCATAAGAAGCTGGGAGGGGGCACAGCCAGGACAGCTGACCCAAACTGGCCAAAGGGATATTCCATACCATGTGACGTCATGCTCAGTATATAAAGCTGGGGGAAGAAGAAGGAAGGGGGAGACATTTGGAGTGATGGTGTTTGTCTTCCCAAGTAACCGTTACGCGTGATGGAGCCCTGCTTTCCTGGAGATGGCTGAACACCTGCCTGCCCATGGGAAGTAGTGAATGAATTCCTTGTTTTGCTTTGCTTGCGTGCGCGGCTTTTGCTTTACCTATTAAACTGTTTTTATCTCAACTCACGAGTTTTCTCACTTTTACCCTTCCGATTCTCTCCCCCATCCCACCATGGGGGAGTGAGCGAGCGGCTGCGTGGTGCTCAGTTGCCGGCTGAGGTTAAACCATGACACCATTCTTATCCCTGATCATTGATTTGCCATCAAAGTACCACACACAAAAATGTCTCTACTTACCTATTTTTATAAACAACATTTCTAAATCCTGATTTTCTTTCCTCAAGTTCAAATGATATTTCAAATCCTCTTCCAACAGTTCCAGACACAAATAAACACCTTAAGGAAAATATCCAAATATCTGTGAGGACAGATACTGGAAGAACACAAGAACAGCTATGCTGGGCCTGAGCAAGGGTCCATCTAGCCCAATATTTTGTCTCTGACAGTGGCCAAGAGCAAATAGTATAAAAAAAGAAAAAAAAAATTAACCTTTTTTGATTCACTGGACTGATAATTGAATCATTTTTGTAGCTGAAACCCCATAATCCATAACCTTTACCTTGACAATGAAAAACATGGAAATTTATGGCATAAAAGTCTGAAGTGTCTTTTGAATGAGCCCTGTTAAATAGTGCTTGCTTCCTCACACTTTCAGATGATTTTTATTTTATGAGCCAGTATATTGCAATCATTTTTTTCATTAACTCCATACTTTGCAATAGGGAGAAAGCACATTGATTTTCTATGTGGGCTTGTAAATTTTCAAAGCAGTGAAAATACTGTTTTAAAGCTTCTGGTTTTCTGATTTCTGAAGTATGCTTGTCTCAGGTTTTTGATAGATTTTCAGGAAAATCTAGTGCTGACCTAAACTATCCCCAGTGAAGTCAATAGAAGACTTCCATAAAGCTCAATGAGATTAGACCAGTGTTGAGACCTGACTTCAGAATCACTGAGCACCCAATTAACAGTGAAATTCGCTATAAGTGGAGCTGAATCGCTGTTTAACTCTCTCTCTCTCTGTCTTCCTCCATTAATTAAATAATAAATCTGTATTCTATTTCTAATTATTATTAATTTTAGGCATTTCAGTTACAAG